CGAGACGTTATCGCTACTGCAGCGGCCGTTATGGGCCGGTTCTGGGCCAATGCCGCTATGCTACTATATATATTTTATATATATATATATTACTAATACTATATATATATGTATAAATAAATGCTATTATTAGGTAGGGACACGTTTTTATGATGCACCGCAGGTTCTTTCCTGTCTCAGTGTCTGTTGTGTGTGTATATAATGCCAGTTTTATCTGGGTTATTATGTGTAGTACCTGACAAGTTATTTGTGGAAAAAATCAACCCGTTTGTGAATTTTAGGTGTTTTAGTTTTTTATGTCTCAGCCATTCTACTGTGACTCGCATGACATTTCTACAAAAATCGAACTTTTAATGGTCTGGCATTCCTATATTAGCTTGCTGCTACTTGTTTAAAAAAACCATTTTAGCAAAGGTACCAGTTAATGCGGTAGTTATGCATATTTTAGCATTGAAGTTATTGCAGCCACACTAATATTTTCTCAGATATCACAAACTATTGTGCGTGACTCGCATGATGGGCTACTAACACATGTTTTGAAGTATACTAAGTATTTACATAAAATTTTGGTTTTAATTTAAACCATTTCATTATTTCTCTTAATAAAAAACAAAACAATTTATGTCACTAGCTCTCACTTCAGTTTTCAACTTTGGTGTATACACTTACATGGAATGGCTGATCTAAATACTGAATAAGATATTTTTGATAAAAAAATGGTGGTCGTTGTGAAAAACACAGTGCCATTGTGAAAATAAGGTAAATATCTGCTTTAGAATTATGAATTAAGACTGACATGATTAAATTCTGGCTTACTCAAAACCATGTACGTATTGTATACTTTTGAGAGAAGTATCAACCATGGCGCTAGCGCCATATTACTACCTTAATATGACATGTTATCATCTGTAAATTTCAGGTATTTACTTTAGCAAAATACCAAGAGGCCCTAGCAGCCTATTTTCGCCTGGATTCTGAAGCTGGGATCAACCACGTTGTAGAAATCTTGCTCGGAGAACAGAATGCATATGTCTTCTTTGAGGGTAACCATGGCGACCTTCACTCGTATGTCCGCTCACACCGGCGTCTGCGTGAGAATGAGGCGGCATTACTGTTCTGCCAGATAGCCACCATTGTCGCGGCATGCCATAGCAGGGGTGTTGTACTACGAGACCTGAAACTGCGAAAATTTGTCTTCAAAGATGAGGAAAGGTAAGCAAGTCTTGATGAAGTTGGCTTCTTTAGCTTGAGATGTATTGTCTGGATGTATGCTAGATTAGATCAAGAGTAGATAATAGAGATGAGTATGACACTGTTTTAACAGCGTTTTGAATAGTTTTCAACTTGTAAATATTCTATCAATATGTGAATAAATATATTCAAACTTTACCTTGTTTTCGTCTATGATTCTCCCTTAATCATATGACACCACCAATTTACCTGAAAATCGTATGTGTTCTTCAAAAAAGTTATTTGAATACGACACGGTTCCACACAGTTTTCCCAAATGATTGCATGTTGATAATGCGGCGGCAGCACCAGGTTGTAACTACGGGACGCTGGGGGCTGTTGTGGATATTAGGTAAGCACAGTAACAGCACTTGTTTCGCTTCCTTATTATCAGGAACACGATGGCAAATCAGCTGCTAGCTCGCCGTGAGAACACATTTATTTCTAGCACGCTGGAAACGCTACACGCTGAATACAATTCAATGCCTAATATCCCCAACGACCCCCAGCGTTCCGTCATAGACAATAGAACACTAATCCGATAATAAACTTGTGCCGAATACATGCGATCATTTGGGAAAACTGTGTGAAACCATGTCGTATTGAAAGAACTTTTTTGAAGAACACATACGATTTTCGGGTAAATTGGTGGTGTTATATGATTAAGGGAGAATCATAGACGAAAACAAGGTAAAGTTTGAATATATTTATTCACATATTGATAGAATATTTACAAGTTGAAAACTATGCAAAACGCTGTTAAAACGGTGTCATACTCTTCTCTATTATGTATTCTTGATTAGATGCAGATGCAGTACATGTGTTAGATTGGATGCAATCAAGAACTAATAATACATGTATTATTAGCATTTGATGTGATGTCTATCAACTCTAGAACAGCGGTGGAAATGAGCCATACAGGGTTACATTTTGAATGATGTGAAATACATTTAGCTTTACAGCATGGCTGATTTGCTGTGCTTTAAGTTTAAGTGCATCATTAGACACAAAACAAAACGCTAATACAGTGCGAGGCTGATATCTCTATTGATCATGTTTCCAAAGGCGGGGGTCATGTTGTGTAAAAATAGGATTTTAAACAGGCATTATGGAAAAGTATGCGTGAACTGTTGACTGCTGGACATTCGATGTACTACACCTGGCTGCTGCAGCAAATAGAGTATTTGATGTTAGCCCAGAATTGAACCACTAGCTATGTGGATTTATACATGATGATATGTATGATGAACATATAGCCAGTGTGCAAGTCTGTCCGTCTCTCAGTCAACGTCCTACTTTTGATTCGTGTGACGAATGATTTTTTTGTATATATATCACGTTATCAGGCTAGATTTGTAAATACTGTTTATCCTCCAAGTCCCTCAATTGTAACAATGGTGCTGCGACACGTTTTAGCATGGTTCACAGTTGACACATTTTTCAATTCATCCATCTATCTATCTATCCATCCCTCCCTCCACCCACCCATTCATTTATTCATCCATCCATTCTTCCATCCATCCATCCATCCGCCCGTCCGTCCATCCACCTGTCCGTCCATCCATCCATCCATCCATCCATCCATCCATCCATCCATCCATCCATCCATCCATCCATCCATCCATCCATTCATCCATCCATGCATCCATCCATCCATCCATCCATCCATCCATCCATCCATCCATGCATCCATCCATCCATCCATCCATCCACCCGTCCATCCATCCATCATTCCATTCCTCCCACCATCAGTACCGTTCTATTGCATCTGTCTATAAGGAAGCTAGTTTGGCCCCTGATTCGTTTATATTGTAAATATAATAATGCTTGATCCAAGTTTTACATTGACTGAAGTACGAACGGTAACGTAGGGTCAACGCGATTTGAAAAACAACAACCACGAAAGGCTGGCAGTAGTTTTAAACAGAAATTGCCTGTAACTTTAGTGCTGTTGCTTTGGTTTAGTAAGAATATTTGGCAGCAAGTATTCACTGCCAACATTGAGAGCAGGCAGCAAACTGACCACTGTAGGCAACAAAACTGCTGCTTGCTGCCCTTGATATCCTGAACTCCTGATATCCCCTATATATATGGGCTACACTGTTAGAGGCTCCATAGAGACTGACATCTCATAGCACGTACGATATAACTTGGCGATATAAAAGACGATGTGTATATATATATATATATATCAAGAGTACATAATAAGAAACATAGCATATATGCTGCCTGGACATGAATCTAAAGTTGGACGACATTCAGACGCTTCCCTGAAATGACCGCAAATTACTTTAATAGCCTTTGTTTCTAGCTGCGCGTGAAAACCATGCCCGTACATAGCAGCAGCATCCATGGCCAGCAGCGATCGGGCGGAGTGAGCTTTGGCCGGGTTGCGTAGGTGTTATCGATTGTACGCTGTGTAATCAGTCACTGTAGGTTACACTGCCGACTGTGTGCGTGTGCGTGCCGATCAATTCGTCATCGCGTGCGGATGCGTGCATGGCGGATGCTGACGAAGCCGGAGTGATGAGGCTTCCAGCTCTCCCGGCGTGTCAGCGTGATGCATATGTGCACTCTATATATCACATTGCATCCTCTCTTTTGTGTCCTTTCCTCCTGCTATGCTAGCCATAGTGCTAAGACCGAATAAGGTGGATATGACTTTTCATAGATAATATGTCGGATTTTTTTGATTGACGAAATTTATTTCGAGGATAAAATCAGCAGCTATTTACAAACATAGTTACCTCCGCCCAACGGAGTTGGAGGAGGTTATGTTTTCGCTCTCGTGTGTTCGCGTAAGACTGGTACTCGCTCCCACCTCGATTCCCCAATCGAGTAACTAAGCCGAGAGGTGGGACCGGGTACCAGTCTAGTGTTCGTGTGTTCGCGCGATATTAGCCAGCCAGCCAGCCAGCGCAGCGAGCCAGCTCCTAACACACATATATATCAAGAGTGGATAATAGAGTCTCTCTATTATCCACTCTTGATATATATATATATGCACTCCGTCAGTGCACTCTGCCTAGCTAATCTCATGTCATGAGCTCAATCTCAGTCATGCACTCTGCCTGCTTAGTCACTCGTAGATAAGTGTAAGGCTGGATTGGTAGGTCCATTAATATTATCAGTAGTGTCATAATATAGATAATGTTCTACTATATTGTTACTTTAGTTGGCGGAGGTATGCACTCCGTAGTGCCTCTAGTTGTGTTATTGTACGCATCTTATGCCGCTTTTATACTGCGCACGACTTTAGCCCGCTTCTGAAGCGGGATAACTTTAGCTCGGGATAAGTCGTTTTATACTGCGCACGACTTTAGCCCGCTTCTGAAGCGGGATAACTTTAGCTCGGGTTAAGTCGTTTTTTACTGCTGAAGCGGGATAACTTTAGCTCGGGATAAGTCGTTTTATACTGAGGGTCTGAAGCGGACCTGAACAACCTCCTGAGGTGGAATAACTTTAGCTCGGGCTAAGTGTTTTTCGACCTTTTATACTGGAGTTTATCCCGCTTCAGGTCCGGACCTGAAGCGGGATAACCCCCAGTATAAATGGGGTAATGGGGGGTTTGTGGGGGGGGAATTTAGAGCGAGCTAAAGTCGAGATACCTTTTATACTGACGTTAGCTCGGGTCTGAAGCGGACCGGACCACCCCTTAGAGCGGGATAACTTTAGCTCGGGCTAAGGGTGTTTCGACCTTTTATACTGGAGTTTAATTATCCCGCTTCAGGTCCGGACCTGAAGCGGGATAAACCCCAGTATAAAAGGGGTATTAGTAACACGTGGTCCGGTTTCTGGTATGAGTTCGCTGTACTGTGAAGGTTTATGCGTCACGTATTTTGCATGCGCTTGCGCGCTGTAGTTTCGCTCCACTCATTTATAGTATGTATTTTCCGGATAACTATGCCAGCCGTAACGAGAGAAATGAATCTATTAGGCATTGCATAGTGCGTAGAATAGCATTGTGGTCGAAATTAGCGGTATCCCGATAACTGCGGGATAGTATAGATTCTTGTGTTGGATACCAGATTTCAATGCAATTTGGTTGCCAGGATAGTAAAAAAAAATCGTCAAAATCGGGATAGTGGTTGTTGAGTCGGCTCAGCGCGACGCTTTCTGGTAAACACCCGCACACCTACGATAAACACCTACGATTTTGTCGATGGTAGGCGCCATTTTGAATGTCATGTGACACGGGCACGTTCAGCTATTGGCTGTTCAATATTTATCGTAGAGGATTTTTCTGAGTTCACACGCACACTACAAAATCTTGTCGGATTACAAAAAATCGCTTCAAAATAATCGTTTCAAAATCAAACATGTATAGGGAAGTCTATTGCTACCCGTGATCGTATGAGTGGTTACGCGTGAGTGTGTGTAGTACACCCTTGCTAGCGTCTATGTGAATGCAGATAATAAGAGAACATAACGATTTATATGAACGTATTCAGTTATTTCTTTAATTGACAGCCTTAAGCCTGGCGCACATTGCCGAACATTTTCCCGTACAAATGTTCGTCCGAACAAATGTTTTTGTCTGGCAATGTGCGAGTGGACAATTGCTGAGGGCACATTGCCGAACATTCTCGAACAGCGAACAATCTCGTGGCGCCATCCAGTAGCTGTGTTGTAAAGAGTCACGTGATCGGCGCATGATTGGGCACAAAAATCATGTGACCACATATCGTGCTGCTATTGGTTACTACTTTACAAATGTTCCTAGAATTGTTCGACATTCAGCGCACATTGACGAACATTCGACGAACAATGTTCGAGATATCAAACATTTCCGATCTAGGTTCGGAACAAATGTTCGGCGACTTTTTTCACCGCACATTGACGAACATTCGACGAACAATGTTCGAGATATCAAACATTTCCGATCTAGGTTCGGAACAAATGTTCGGCGACTTTTTTCACCGCACATTGACGAACATTCGACGAACAATGTTCGAGATATCAAACATTTCCGATCTAGGTTC